AATGGTGAAAAACTTAAACCATTTCATCTAAAATCAGGAGCAAGACAAGGATGCCCACTCTCACCACTGTTATTCAACATAGTTTTGGAAGTTTTAGCCACAGCAATCAGAGAAGAAAAAGAAAAGGAATCCAAATCGGAAAAGAAGAATTAAAGCTGTCACTGTTTTGCAGATGACATGATACTATACATAGAGAATCCTGAAGATGCTACTAGAAAGCTACTAGAGCTAATCATTTAATTTGGTAAAGTAGCAGGATACAAAATTAATGTACAGAAATCTCTTACATTCCTAAACACTAATGATGAAAAATCTGAAAGAGAAATTAAGGGAACACTCCCATTTACCATTGCAGCAAAAAGAATAAAACACCTAGGAATAAACCTACCTATGGAGACAAAAGACCTGTATGCAGAAAACTATAAGACACTGATGAAAGAAATTAAAGATGATACAAACAGATGGAGAGAGATACCATGTTCTTGGATTGGAATAATCAACATTGTGAGAATGACTGTACTACCCAAAGCAAACTACAGTTTAAATGCAATCCCTATCAAACTACCAATGGCATTTTTCACAGAACTAGAACAAAGAATTCCACAATTTGTATGGAAACACAATAGACCCTGAATAGCCAAAGCAATCTTGAGAAAGAAAAATGGAACTGGAGGAATCAGGCTCCCTGACTTCAGACTATACTACAAAGCTACAGTAATCAAGACAGTATGGTACTGGTACAAAAACAGAAATATAGACCACTGGAACAGGATAGAAGGCCCAGAGATAAACCCACGCACATATGGTCACCTTATCTTTGATAAAGGAGGCAAGAATATACAATGGAGAAAAGACAGCCTCTTCAATAAGTTGTGCTGGGATAACTGGACAGCTACATGTAAAAGAATGAAATTAGAGGAATGAAATTCCTCTGAAACTCTTAGAGGAAAACATAGGCAGAACACTCTATGACATAACTCACAGCAAGATCCTTTTTGACCCACCTCCTAGAGAAATGGAAATAAAAATAAACAAATGGGACCTAATGAAACTTAAAAGCTTTTGCACAGCAAAGAAAACCATAAAATAGATGGAAAGACAACCCTCAGAATGGGAGAAAATATTTGCAAACGAAGCAACTGACAAAGGATTAATCTCCAAAATATACAAGCAGCTCATGCAGCTCAATATCAAAAAAACAAATAACCCAATCCAGAAATGGGCAGAAGACCTAAATAGACATTTCTCCAAAGAAGGTATACAGATTGCCAACAAACACTTGAAAAGATGCTCAGCATCACTAATCATTAGAGAAATGCAAATCAAAACTGCAGTGAGGTATCACCTCATACTGGTCAGAATGGCCATCATCAAAAATCTACAAACAGTAAATTCTGGAGAGGGTGTGGAGAAAAGGGAACCCTCCTGCACTGTTGGTGAGAATGTAAATTGATACAGCCACTATGGAGAACAATATGGAGGGTCCTTAAAAAACAAAAAATAGAGCTACCATACAACCCAGCAAACCCACTTCTGGACATATACCCTGAGAAAACCATAATTCAAAAAGAGTCATGCACCACAATGTTCATTGCAGCACTGTTTACAATAGCTAGGACATGGAAGCAATCTAAGTGTCCATCGACAGATGAATGGAGAAAGAAGATGTGGCACATATATACAATGGGATATTACTCAGCCATAAAAAGAAGTGAAATTGAGTTATTTGTAGTGAGGTGAATGGACCTAGAGTCTGTCATACAGAGTGAAGTAAGTCAGAAAGAGAAAAACAAATACCATGTTCTAACACATAGATATGGAATCTAAAAAAAAAAAAAAAAAGGTTCTGTTGAACCTAGGAGCAGGACAGGAGTAAAGACACAGACGTAGAGAATGAACTTGAGGACACAAGGAAGGGGGAAGGTTAGGCTGGGATGAAGTGAGAGAGTAGCAGTGACATATATACACTACTAAATGTAAAATAGCTAGCTAGTGGGAAGCAGCTGCATCACTTGGGAGATCAGCTCCGTGCTTTGTGACCACCTAGAGGGGTGGGATAAGGAGGGGGAAGGGAACGCAAGAGGGAGGGGATATGGGGATATATGTATACATATAGCTGATTCACTTTGTTATACAGCAGAAACTAATAAATCATTGTAAAGGAATTATGCTCCAATAAAGATGTTAAAAAATTATTGAACTCTCCAGTTATGTTTATCCATTGTTTAATCCATTTGTTCATCAAATATAACTTGAATACCTATTATGTAGCAGATGTTTTCTACTCAGGACCCTGCATCTATCTCTCAGAACTCTTTCATCCTTAAAAACTTCATGTTGCCCCCGTGATCAAGATGAAAAATTTAAAATTGGAGTATTAAGGCTTAGTCTCAATTGGAGCTTTTCTCCCTTCTTTCAAACAGAAGCATTTCTGAAGGTAGGAAATTGTAAAAGATAACCTTTACTTGTCCTTTTGAACATTTATAATGGTATTAAGTACTAATATTGATCATTGGAAATGTCTAATTTCACACAATCTATAAATGTAAATATTGAATAAAATGAGCCATTCCTATTCATTTGAATCCTGAATTTCCTTTGGCTTAAAGTTTCCTGAAAATCAGAGTTAGAATTACTTTTTAAAAAATTCTTGTTTTGCTTGTTATTTTAGTTCTCTTTCCCCGTGCTGCTTTATTTTATTATTTTTTAAAAAATTGAAGTATAGGTGATTTACAGTATTGCTCATCATGCCTTTAAGAACTAAAAGTTATTTAAGTGCCAACCGTGTGACTAGGACTGCAGTAGACCTGTTATATAGACCATTATTTCATTTAATGTAAGGCACCATGGATTGTATGATGCCCCACTATTTTATATGTTAATAAGAAATTTTTTTTAATGTTGCCAACTCACAGATATAGAGAACAAACTAGTAGTTACCAGTGGGGAGAGGAAAGGGAGGAGGGGCAAGATAGGGGTAGGGGATTAAGAGGTACAAACTATTAGGTATAAAATAAGCTACAAGGATATATTGTACAACGTGGGGAATATGGCCAATATTTTATAATAACTATAAATGGGGTATATAACCTTTAAAAATTGTGAATCACTATGTTGTACCCCTATAATATATAATTTTTATTTTATTATTATTTTTTTATTTTTGGCTGCGTTGGTTCTTCGTTGCTGCGCGCAGGCTTTCTCTAGTTGTGGCGAGCGGGGGTTACTCTTTCCTTGCGGTGCGCGGGCTTCTCATTGTGGTGGCTTCTCTTGTTGCGGAGCACGGGCTCTAGGTGTGTGGGCTCAGTAGCTGTGACTCGCGGGTTCTAGAGCGCAGGCTCAGTAGTTTTGGTGCACGGGCTTAGTTGCTTTGTGGCACGTGGGATCTTCTGGGACCGGGGCTCGAACCTGTGTCCCCTGCATTGGCAAGTGGATTCTTCACCACTGCGCCACCAGGGAAGTTCTGTAATATATAATATTATACATCACCTATACTTAAATTTAAAAAAATGGCAACTTTAGGCACAGAGACATTATGATAATTAGATCAACTGGAAAAATGAGAAACGAACAGACAAAAAATGCTACCAATTATAGTTGTAAGACATCGTGTATTATAAATTTCATTCCAATGTCAGAGATGTTAAAATGTGAGAAAATGAGCCTATTAGAATCACTGAAGTACAGTGTTCTCTCTAGTCCTCAAGACATATCTTCAAAAGAGGTATAATATCCTTTTACTTAACTGAAATATTGCCCTTGTAAAATAGTAGTAATAGCAATAATTATGATAATATTACCTAATAATTATTGAGCTGTTATCTGTGTGAGGAACTGTTCTAAACCCTTTGCATGGGTTCTCATTTAAGCATCACAGTGGTGTCCTATGAGATAGCTACTGCTCTATCCCCATTTTGTTGATGAGGAAATTGAGGCACAGAAAGGCTAAGTGACAGCTAATAAGTGACACAGTTAAAGTCAAATTCAAACCCAAGTTGAGCTGAATCTCAAGGTCATGCTCTTTCTATTCAAGCAGGTTGTTCTTTCGTTAATGTGGAGAGTAAGAAGAGCTAATATATATTGTTCTTTCTCCAGAAGAAAACTCAATATTTGTTTTAAAGGGATAGGAATAGCATGCTATTAAATGTTTTCAATTACATGAACAATTGTATGTTTTGAAATAGTGCACTACAATTTCCTAAAAACTCCTCTCGGTTTCGTAGGACTGCTCTCCATTTGGCCTGTGCCAATGGCCATCCAGCAGTGGTAACTCTCCTAGTGGAGAGAAAATGCCAGCTTAACCTCTGTGACAACGAAAACAGGACAGCGCTGATGAAGGTACATAGTAGCCAACATGTCAATGTGAGATGGATTTGATTTAACTACTTAGAATAAAAATGGATTTATCTCATTTAAATATAACGAATTGGTGAAACTTCTGGAATGTTTACTCTGAATTCCTAGAATTTACAGTCTGTTTCTTGACATAACACTTATAGGCCATACAATGCCAGGAAGAGGAGTGTGCAACTATTCTGCTGGAACATGGTGCCGACCCAAATGTCATGGATGTAAGTGGCAACACTGCTCTCCACTATGCTGCCCTTTATCAGAATATATCACTCGCAGCAAAGCTGCTTTCACATGACGCCAGCATTGAAGCAAGGAACAAGGTATAGCTCAACTATATTTACAAAATATTTGCAATACATGGTTTTTTTTTTGTTTTAGCTGCAGATGTTTTATCTATAATAATATGTATCCTGAATACCACCCATCAGGGCCTGTTACCATGGAAACAACTCCAAAGCCAAGTCACGGGCTGGAGAAAGGTGGTGCTCACAGAAAGAGCACAATTCTGTCTCCCAGCCACCCTTCTACCCCAGAAGGAAAATCTTCCCATTAGGATATGCCTGGGAGTGGGTGGTGGGCTCAGAGCCCACACAAGACAAAGACCTGGGGGGAGTGAGGTGAGGTGGGGGCTGGCTGCTTGCAGGGGCTCAGGGAATGGGTGCTGTTGGGGTTGGATGGGAGGAGGAAGGAGACCCAGTACCCAGCAGGGAGAGCTGGGTGAGTGCAGGTGGCCAGGGCAGGCAGCAGGCCCTGAGCCCTCCAGGACCCCATGTTCTAAGATCGGGGAAAGTGGGGCAGGTCGTGTTTGACACCCAGCAAGGGTGTTCACTTATGCTGGTGGCCATTTGGTCCACCATGTACACCTTGGGGTCTTCCACACTCAGCCTAGGGTGGCTCCTCAGCAGGGTTGTAGCTGTGCATGGGGAGTAGGTGATGGCGAAGCTGCTGTTCCTGCTTTTTCTTTGGGATACACATTACCTCCTCCCGCTGCAGCCCTGCCAGGAACTCCCTCTGCTGACATAGATGGGGTCAGTTTTACATATTTGGAAGCTCAAGCATTCCCTGAGTGAAAATATTTTGAAATAACTTATCTAAGATTTCACTTTAAATCATTATATTTCTAAAGAAGCATTAGAGGGTATAGCTTTCTTTTATGTGTCTGGCAGATATTTGTGAAAACATTGCATTTGTTAAAGGTAAGACCTTTTTTTTCCCCCAAATATTTTTCCCCCCGCTCAAATTTTTTTCCTGATTAGTGTAAAACAACGCAGAAATGCAAAACTTGCCTTGGAGATAGACTTTGTCCTAAAACTCAAACAACACAAAAGCATTTTACAATAATAGCAATCTTGCTGCTGTTGACAAGTTCCTATTTTATTAAAAAATGATTTATGTAAAAATGATTTCTCTCTCATTGCCTAAGGCTTCAGAGGGAAAAAGGAAAAGGAAAAGGAGAGAGCAGTTGAAATGTGCAGGCCGGGCTTCCCTGGTGGTGCAGTGGTTAAGAATCTGCCTGCCAATGCAGGAGACACGGGTTCGAGCCCTGGTCCAGGAAAATCCCACATGCCGCGGAGCAACTAATCTCGTGAGCCACAACTACTGAGCCTGCGCCCCTAGAGCCTGTGCTCCGCAACAAGAGAAGCCACTGCAATGAAAAGCCTGCGCACCACAAGGAAGAGTAGCCCCCGCTCACCGCGACTAGAGAAAGCCCACACGCAGCAACGAAGACCCAATGCAGCCAAAAATAAATAAATAAATAAATTTAATAAGTAAATTTAAAAAAAAAGAAATATGCAGGCCAATTTGGAAATTTGGCAGTTAGGAAATGCCAAGAAGAGGTTTTTTGGGGGGTTTTTCCCCTTCAGTTTATGTATTTAGGCAAAGTTCTTTTCAGGTTTCAGGGATAATAATTTTTCTTTTGGGAAAGAGCCTAAGTGAATTGTAACCTTGCCTAGAGATCGATTTTAGGAGGACTCAGAGGAAATCAGATTGGCAGTGAACGTGTGGTGATTAAGTGGGAAATAAGGGAGAAGGACAAATAATTAACTGACATATTATCTTGTTTTGGCAGAAACAGCCACTTAGGTAAGAGTCTAGACTCTGCTCTCAAATCTAGAATGTCTTGATGGGAAGTAAAGGGTTTATAAGTAATGAGATCAAGTTGCATTTTGAGTTTACTCGTCCCTGTTCTACCTATTTACCCAGAAAAATTAAATGTAGTTTTGGTGACTCTTATCTCTAACACTTTTCTCTTTTTTTTTTTCAAATCCTCAACTGAGAAAAGGAATTGGCCATGTGGGTAGGAGATGAGACTGACATGGTTGCTACACTAATTCTCAGCTAGAATTCTGCTCGTGACCCACAGTCACCTGGGAGAACTTATAAAAAATTTACAAGCCTAGGCTCTCCCCTGAAGATTTTGATTGAATAAATCTAGGAAGGCCCGGACATGTGTGTTTGGAAATATTTCCTCGAGATTCTGATACGGCCCTTGGTGTGATTTATAAATTCACAGATCTCAAAAATAAGAAATCTCTAGAAGGGTTGGAGTTTGATAGATGCTACTTCCATCAACTCCCTCCTTTCCAACAATATTAGCCTGACTTTTATCTTTCTCTGCCTCTGTGATTGAGAAGGTAAAAGGGATATTATTGGCAATATCTATTAGCTTGAAGAATAACTCCTTTTTCCTTCCAACCACTAATCATTCACTGGCACTCAGAGAGTCTTTAGAAATTTGCTTATGGTGACTCATTTAATAAGTAGAGTATGACCCTTTGCGAGTTTTGCACCTTTTGTTATCATCCAGGTCATTAGGTCAGCCGATGTTTATCACAAACAGGGTTTTCCTGACTGCAGTAATAGTAAAGCATGAGCCTTCTTTTGGTGAAAGCTGCATGACAGACTCTTGCAGTGTGTCTGTTAGGTTCACTGCACCCTGGCATAAGCAAGATGATAGTTTTAAACATCAAAACCCATGAAGTTAGTAACAGTACAGATAGGAATTGTTTTAATAATTTAGTTTCAGCAGTCTTATGAACCAATTATCCATTTGGTTAACATCAGGGAGAATTATAGAAATAGATTGTAGTTTTAACAGGCATTGGAAACATTCTTGAAGTGGGTATTATGAATCTTAATAGCAATTTTTATTACATGTTGGGACCCACTTTTTTTTTGTAAAACACATGATACTAAAGAAAGGAATGATTTTACATGCAAATATTTGCTTTATATCCACCCGTTTGGAAAAACTCATAGCAAACATAAAAACACAAGTGAGCTATAGACTAAACGTGGCCCCTGGATGTGTTTAGCTTTCCTCCACAAATTGAGTCAGCATTTAAAATTGAGGAGACTCATTCAGAAATCTGCATTTCAGGCTTCTCTTAAGGAATCCAATCTGGTCCCCCTTGAGCCCACGCTACTGTTTGGTCTGCCGTGCAAAGGGTGCCCCTTCTGTATGGGGTGTGTTCTCCGGTTTGCTGGGTTCTTCACTTACTTGGGTCACCTACTTTGCCTCCATAAGCATCTGTGTTTCCAGTTCCTGTATTACAGTTTATTTTGCTAAATATTTCTAGATTTTAAAACAGTCATTAATTTATAATCTATTTCATATTTTAAAAGAATCTCTTAAGAATGGGGTTGAATTTTTCAAGTTAGAATTTATAAGTTGGTTTTTTAAAAAAACTTTTTCTTTACATGTTCATGTGAAGAATCATATTCCCATTGGAATGTCTGTAAACCTTATGAGGTTAATTGGTTATCGTTGGATAGGTTATGCATGTTGCATACGATATTATATCTTTCTCCTCAGCATTGTTCCTAAAATATGCAGTTGATTTAATAGTTAAATGATTATCTCTGGAGGAGTGTTTAGAGTGTATAGACTAGTATAGAGCAATAAAATAACTACAGTATACCTGATAAATACTGTGATAGAAGCAAAGATCCTTGGAACCGGTAAATGTTGGGAGTGAGTTTTAGAGAATGACTTTGCAGTTAATCATGTGAAGAAATGAGGAGCATTTTAAAGAGAAGAAAGCAGCACAGGGTGGGTGAGAAGGAAGGGGCTCCTTTTTATTTACTTTCTATATTAGATGTTTAAGTTCAGAGAATCTATTATAAGTTTTAAAATTCAGTTTAGAAATATGTAACTTTGTACATTCTATATAAAGTGTTTCTGCTGTTTTACAGGAGGACCTTACACCACTTTTACTTGCTGTAAGTGAAAACAATCAGCAAATGGTGGAATTTTTAGTAAAGAAAGAAGCAAATATACATGTAGTTGATAAGATGAAAAGGTACAGTAGTTTGTTCTTTTTCTTTTTAAAAACCTTAGTGCTGTTCTAGACTGGTGACAGAAAGATTAGATTAGTAAGAAGACGATTAATGTATAATCAACACATCAGGTCGAAAAGCAATTACTCTGTGTATCATGAAAAATAATATATAGCAGGATTCATATTCCTTTATAATATTGACTGATGTCATTTGCAACCTGATTTTTTTCTTTTTTTGGTCATACGATCTTATAATAGCTAAGGGATTTCGTATTAGTTTTATTAGCTTTATAAAATATGGATTCTACTTTTTAATTTACCTTATGACACAGTATTGAATTTCTTAATTCTTTTATAATAATTTTTTAACCTCTACTTTGTATATATTTTTCCTTAAAAGATGCATGTCTTTGGGGTGACTCTGCTTTAAATTACTTTCTTTGAAGAGTACTGATGATATTAGGTTATCACTAAGTGATTGTTAATCACTATTACCAGATACTTTGGGCTCATCAGCTTTTATCCTTTTTCATTTCTAGTACTTTTTTTTTTTTTTTTGTGGTATGCGGGCCTCTCACTGTTGTGGCCTCTCCCGTTGCGGGGCACAGGCTCCAGACGCGCAGGCCCAGCGGCTGTGGCTCACGGGCCCAGCTGCTCCGCAGCATGTGGGATCCTCCCGGACCGGGGCACGAACCCGTGTCCCCTGAATCGGCAGGCGGACTCTCAACCACTGCGCCACCAGGGAAGCCCCATTTCTAGTACATTTTGATGTCCTTATTTTTAATTGGTGAAGGTAGAAGGAAGAAAGATAGCTTTAATTGGATAAACATTTCCTTCAATGAAGACAAGTCATAGGTGGGTGATAAGGAGGAAAGTGATGGGCTTTAGATTCAGACTGGGTTTAATTCCTAGTTTTCCTACTTATTAGCTGTATGACCTTGGAAACGTTACTTATTATCAGCAAATATGTTTCCTGATATGAAAAGGAAGATAGTAGTATATCCTCCAAGGGTGGTTGTGTGGAAGAAAGATTACATATATAGTATTTCATTTAGTGCCTAGCGCATGCTTATCAGCATCATTAACTGCAACCATGACTATTTTTATTTCATTATTATTAATATTATTGTTTTAAGCCTGCAAATAGCTTTTCCTTAGCCTGACCTCTAGCTGATTTTGAAGTATAATATAACAGACTAAGGAAGAAATGGGGAATTCTTCCTTTATATACTCACCTGCTTCAGATAAGTGACCTCAGCATAGTTTCTTGTCCATCAAGGGCTTTAAATTAGCAATTTCTTCTACATGCCATCTGAGTGGGACAGGAGGCTTCTTTTTTGTCCCTTCATTTTAGCCTTGGAGGTAATTTACAAAGATGAACACTTGAATATGTAAATGGTCAGTTGTACATGGATGGGCAAGATATTAACTTGGTAAAGTATATCAAATTAGCTGTTAAAGTAAGTTAGCTAAAGTTCCTAAGGGTGAAGTTATCTCTCTGTTATTTTAGAACAGCCCTCATACTTGCTGTAAACTATGAATCAACAAATATAGTCAGGCTTCTTCTTCAGCAAGGTATTGATGTCTTTTCTCAAGATATCTATGGATGGACTGCAGAAGAATATGCTCTTATTAGTGGTTTTAATATGTAAGTGTTTACATTAAAATGCCAGTTATCACTAAACTGTGGTTAAAGATAATTTAACTGTTACTTGTTATGTGACAGGTGAGAGTTCTGGTGTGGTGCAGGCAGTTTGGGAATGATGGTGAGATGTTCCCCATCATCAACTGGAAACCAGCTGAAAGGCCAGACTAGTTAGATGTAGCAGTGGGCACAGGGTTCTTTATCTCAGGACTTTAAGACTTTATATCCTTAAAGATCCTAACATTATCCATTTCATTCCAAGTGTAACCCCTATGCATGGGGTACAAGTAGTGTCACAGCTCTGATTTTTCTAACTTGTTATTTGGGTCTTGAAGTGTTTAGTTCAGCAGACTATCCTATATTTTCTCTTGCGAACTTACTTCTATACTCTCCCTCTTAAATTTTGCAAGAACCTAAGGGATTCCCTAAGATCAAAGAGACAGTCCTCTTCCACAAGTCATTTGGAGGGGAAAAAAAGGGCATTCTCATCATTCTGTTGATTGCATTGATTCTATTGCTGCAGTGTTGCTACTAAAACTGGTCTTAGCAGGGTCTCCTTGGCAGCTGGATCTGGAGTCTGGATGTTGCTCTATAAAGACCTTTAATAACTTTAAAAGAAAAAAAAGAAAAAAGAAACCGGTCCTGCAGTCGGGTCACAATTGACCTTTGCTCCCAGGATGCCCTTGCTGATCCAGATTCCTCAGTCTTCATGGTGATGCACACTTAGACTTCAAAGTGACAACTTTTTTAGTTCTCATACATATGCCTGTAGCTCACTCACTGTTCCAAAGCACCAGCACTCAGTTCTGGCACTTGGGCCTCCTAGCTTTAGCCACACCCACCCTCCCCGACACACTCAAAAACCTTATGTAGAGCCCACATCTTAGCCCAGATCTTCACGATGAGTTACCCTTTGAGGCTCTTACTTGTCTTTTCTGCTAGCAGATGTCAATGGGAACCGTTTTAGGCTTTCAGAGAGGTTCAAATGCTCCTGCCAGGAGAGAGCCGACTTTCCTTTTTTCCTTTGTTACCAGACCTGAACCTCAAGGCTGCTTTATATCCTGTGGGGCACTTTTTCTTAGGTCGTGGAAGGTCCCATATCATCCTCCTCGGAGTAGGGGGTGCCAGCTTGCCTGAGATTCCATAACTGAGGTTGGCCCCTCAAGTGATCTGTTTTCCATGATAATGAAAATCTTCTAAATGATTTACATATGCCTCAACCTTCAAAGTATTTTCAGATTCTGCTTCATAAGGAACCCATTCACCAGAAATCCCAGAATCTCAAGTAGGTTAGTTGGCATTAGGAGAGGTAAGCCCTGTCCAGGACTTGTCAGCATCCATTGTAAAAGTAGGGTTATATCTTCCAAGTGAATTGGAGATGAACATGGAGCTTAAGCATCATTCTAAGAAAGATCTGTTGGTTCAGAGTTTGAGTAGGTAGAGAAGGAGTAGTAGTGGTCCAAGCCAGGTCTGGACTTTGATTAGTTTTCTACTCTTCGTGTGATTAGCTGCGATAATGGGGGACAGTTATGTTATCTAATTTAATGAGGTCATATATTTATAAATAAATTCAGTTACAAATTATAGAATAGCTGCGAGTCCCTGAATTACAAACCACAAAGAAAGGACAGCTAATCACCCTGATTACTGACATTTTTCCTGAAAACTGCAACATTAGAATGTTAAACCTATGAAAAGACACACACATTGGGTTTTTAATATGATTTTTTAAAATTAATTTATATATTATTTATTTTTGGTTGCATTGGGTCTTTGTTGCTCCACGCGGGCTTCCTCTGGTTGCGGTGAGCGGAGGCTACTCTTTGTTGCGGTGGGTGGGCTTCTCATCGCGGTGGCTTCTCTTGTTGTGGAGTTGGGGCTCTAGGCGTGTGGGCTTCAGTAGTTGCGGTGCGTGGGCTCAGCAGTGGCTTGTGAGCTCTAGAGCTCCGGCTCAGTAGTTGTGGCGCACGGGCTTAGTTGCTCCGCGGCATGTGGGATCTTCTCGGACCAGGGCTCGAACCCGTGTCCCCTGCAATGGCAGGCGGATTCTTAATCACTGCACCACCAGGGAAGTCCCACAATTGAAGTTTTGATAATAGCTCTGACATTGTCTGAAGTGATCTAAGAATTTAATATATTTGGTAATTGTTTTTCATATTAGTATTAAAATAGTAATATTATTTATCACATTTTTAATACATAGCAATCGCCAACTGATTTCTGAATATAAAGAAGAAAAGAGACCTAAAACTCCTTCTCAAAATAGCAACCCAGGTAAGATGTCTGATAGTGAATTACTCTTGGTGACCCTACCATAGATAAAGTAAGAGTGAGGAAGTTTTAATAATGAAAAAGCAATGAAAAAAACCAGTGTGTAAACTGCATGTATATTTTTATTTTTTAAATTAATTTCTTAATCGTCTAGTATTCAGAATTGTTTAAGAAGTTAATTGTAGGTAATTTAAAATCAGAGACAGTATTGTCTGAAAAGAAATCCACATATTTAATCATGGCCCCTAAAATCCCGTATTATATCTTTGTGTAAATAAGAAAAAAGATTTTTTGGTTAGTATGTTGTATGTTTCCTCTATAATCACATGAATA